GTACTGACTGATATCCTCAAGATAGCTGGCATCGAGTGAAAGGCAAAGAAATGATTGTGCAAATCTGGTACCAGTTTTTGGATAGTCATAGCTTTCTGGAAAACATTTGTCATTTTCAAGCGTGCCACAAAATATGTGCTAAAGTTCAAGAATGTTGCAAGTCCATGTTGCCTAGGCAGATAGAAACTTATAAGTCTGATCTGGAGTAGGTGGATTAAGGTTGAACGAGTGCTATCCGGAGTTTGAACCTCGGACCAAGCTTACGTTCTGGTAAACCAGAACCTTTTCGCCTCCGTTGTCAGCTAGCTGATACCAGACTCCTCGGGAAATATGGAAACCGTTGTCCTGTCTGTTTTGTTAGTCCCGAAGAATTACTGTTCAAGCTGACACGCCAGGTTGAGACGCCGGGACGGTTCTGATTGAAAGTTGAAGGCATTGGGACATCCCGAAATAGGACTGATTAGCATAAGAAGTTACATTCGTTAGTTAGGATATTAAGAGACCTACAGATAAGGACCACGGCAATGGGCACAATGAGCAGCAGGCATAGAAATGACGGTGTGAGCTCTGGATAGTCGTATTTTCTGAGAGGTTCCAATTCATTCGTGATTTTTGACCATGTTTGTACCTACTGTGCCTATTTTCAATGGATATTTGGGTACCGTATCCCCTGAATGTAATGCACTGACTACTTAGAAGTTCAAGTTAGAGGAATAAACAGTCACTCACTTATACTAGGGGGAAATTTCGGCACACTATGAATCAGCCAAAATCCGCTATCGATTGAGAAAACAGCAACACCTTTGCTGTGACCACGTCCACTGTTCGGCTTTTGATTTGGGCATTCGTCATTGTAGGTGATTTTAAAAGTTGTTTTCTGAAATTCCATTCAAAAGCCAACCAATCTGCACAAATGGAATGATTCCTTACGTCGTCGGTAGTATACAGTTGGTTGACGGTGGCACCGATCGCGGATTCAGTACTGTTTATTGGTTGCTCGCTCATGATCCATCCACTTTGGGTAGAATCGAAGTAGGCGAAGCTACGCCCCTTCTTTTGATCAATGGAAGCTGGTAATTTCAATGCGACAAACCTAGAAGGACAGGACTTTTTTCCAAAACGACTATTCTGATTTAAAATTAAATCTCGCAAAAATTTTCACAACGTCTTTCCATGGTACTTACCAGTCAACATCTTCTCCTTCCATATTTTTACATCGTATTTGAGCATCGACCAGGCAGGCGACCGACAGGATCGCCACCCAAACTTTCCACATTTTTTGACTAAAATTTGTCTGCAAAGGTCAAATGATAAAAATGAAAGTCGGTGAAAATAGCTTGAAATATGCTATGAAAAGGGCAAAGTGCTTGATCGGTATGTCGGAAATAGTGGAGTACATAGTGGGCAGATAGTTTTCATTAGTGATCACGTGATCCCCTTTGTTGCAATTAGTACTTAGTGGTATTATCTGTAAGAGTAGGAGGGGTCTTCATTTTTTTGGATTTGCTTATCTTCAAAAAGTTCTTTGGCCCTCACGAAGCATACGACTAAGAAAAATTCACGGATAGGAGGTTCTTTTGGAAGTGGTCTTTTCCTCGAACTAAAATTTTTCTGAAGGTTTTGTTATCTCTTATCAGCTTGTATACTCTTCATTTATATAGATAAAACCCCCTAGTATCTATATATCTATTAGAATTATAACTATTATTCCTATATTATTATGTTATTTATTATTATTATTTATTGTATATTCTGCATTAAAATTTTTATTCGACTTGATGTTTTGTTAACTGCTGTTTTTTCGCTGCAATCAGCAGTGAAACTATTTACTATACTATTTATTAAATATTTTTTAAAATTCGCACTTAGATATATATTATTTATATATTTTTATAGAAATAGAAATATGTATTATATATTATATACATTGATTAAACTGCGAAGTGCAAATGGTGATATTGATATTGGAAATATTCACGTTTACGGTGGAATGAAAAANAAAAATCGAGAACTGAAAATCCGAATAATTCGAATTTTCGAATAACGGTATCTTTTTTGACAGTTGTTTTGCAAGCTGGCAAACCCGTACGTCATGTTAGTCAGAGTTTTTTCTTTGAAATTTTACATTCCACAGTTTATCATGTTTTTCTTGATACGATCTGTCACGATTCTGATAGCGAGCTTAGCTTTTTTGATCATTTTTTATAATGATCGTCATTGATTCCTTTGTTAATGGCCCCTGAAATGTAACAAAATCCTTTGTAACAGATAAATCCTTCTTTTGATATGAAATTCCGAGACGTCTGCCTCCGTTCCCATTCTCCTATAGAAAAACCTTCAATTCTGGACCAGAAAGGCAAGATATGTAGGACTCTCGCACAGCGCATGATTCTTTATTAGTCTCGGAAATCAAGGTGAAGGTTCTAAAATTGGAAATTTATCGAACTTGGCTCATCTTGGATACGCGAAGGTGTAACTAGAAGTAGAGGCGGAATCGGTATCTGTGTGAGTAGGAGGGCGAGGGAAGCTGGCTTGGAATGGCAGTGGCCCTTCACCTTGCGAGTCATGTAGCAGCGAAGTAGGACTCGAGACCTTTGCAGTTAACTTGACCTTGTTATTTTCAAACTTTCGTGTTCTACTAATAACTGAATTTTATTCCATTCTAGGCCTCTAGTGATTTGTTTTGGTAATTTAGGAAGTTGGAATATTTTGGTGCGGTAGTCAATTCGTGAAAAACTACGGATCGCCGAGTTGCGAGAATGGAAAATTTGATAGAATTGAGAGAGGGTGATATGAGAAGAAGGTCAGTTTATTATTGGCATTTATAAGCGAAAGTGAAAGTGAGTGGGGAAGCGGATCTGAAATCTTATTTTGTGAAAAGAGCTTCTAAGAAGATTTTTGAGAAGGACTATGGAAATCATGCACACCTATTGTATTTTGCTGGTCGATCCCCCAGCGCGACACGGTGTGAAAACGTGTCATTACCCAAACTGAAGTAGTACTACATACTGATGGGATCTGAACAGCGACAAGTCGTTAAGATTGAAGAGTCGGAAGAAGAGGGGTCGACGACTGAGGTTTTGGCTTTGAAAAAGAGGGTACGAATTCATAGGAGAAGTTTGAGCAGAAAAATGGAGCAGAAGGTCTTATGAATAAATTTTCGACATGGAAGAGGTTCAATTCGGCTTGGTGGAATAATAGTCGAGGAGATGTCACCGTCGTGGAAAAAAGCCATTGTAGTCATAATGTATGCGGTTCATGCACAGAATGGGAAAACCGATCATTCATTCTGAACGCCTTCTGAAATGTCTTCATATGGAGAGGACTTCTGCTCAATCAAATATCAAATGCAGTCATATTTTTATTCAACATAGCATGTGATTGAAAAGATGCTGATGCGAAATAATGAAAAAACCCTTAATTTTCATCTTCTTGACTTCTTTACATCTAAATAATGAAATAGAATTTATGTGGTATGTTCCAGAACATTCATAGCTGAAAATGTTTGTTTAACAAATTCCAAGTCCTCTCCTCTTTAAACCTCGGCATTTCTGTTGTTCTAGAAATCGTTAATTTTGCTTCTGCCTCGAGGTTAGTAGGTGGAAATATTTATTCTGGCCGACGTTCCGACGGATTCGTCGTTTTCAAAGGCCTGAAAGTGGTTTAAAGCTTTTTGATTGCGTACTACCCCACCAAGCGCCTCTTCCTCTCTAGCGTTTCTGACGTTCCTTCAGGAACGCACCAAAAATATCCAAAATCCAAAAGATAAGCTCACCTCACTTCCACCGCGAGGTGTAGCCATGTTACACGATTAGTACATTAGTAGAGAATGTTCTTAGTCCGCTGTCCTTATGCAGTAACACTATTGCGGATCAGCACATTCGCGGATTATGGAACAAACTCGCAGTGTTGCATAAACGGCAAGAGATCATTTGTGATAGTCACACACTCCTTTCGGTTGTTCATA